TAGTTCGAATTTAGGCTTATCAAACCACTTCCTTCATAATTTTAACCAATAGGAGTTTTTGCAATATTCATATTGATCAATAGGCATCCTTTGCTGACTAATAGGAATTTACGTTAGCCGATCTTATACTTTCCTGATGCTTTTCACGTATATTTTTACTCCAGTAAAACAATTACTAGCGGCCTTAGTTTATTTTCTACTGTACACTTTCAACGCATTAAAAACGCAATACCTACGCCTAAATCAAGAACGATTTCAGTAAGAAACTTGGGCAGGGGGGCTTTTGCAATTTGACGGCCCCACGATGGATCGCTACCCAATTCTACCCGTGACGTGGTAGCCAGTGGCGGTCCAATGGATATCCAACAAGCTTTGTTAAAAATTGCCTCAGGCGTTAGGGTCAAGCACAAAGCATCCTCCCAAATCAAGATATAGTGACACTGAAATTTTACTCTCCACCTTAAATGAATGGACTCTCTGAAACCATCTCTCGACAATTAATTCTTTTCGGCATCTCCGTCACCCACAAGCCCGCATCATCACTGCGCGCAAACCTATGTCAGGTAAATAACTATGTAATGTTGTCTACCGCATACCTTGCGCCAGCTGTCCTTGTGTTTACGTTGGCCACACAGGCCAGCGTCTCGAGACTCGAATCAAAGAACACAAGTTAGCCGTTCGCCGATCGAACCCTTTATCACGCGTATTTGCGCACTCCTTCGAGTGTGATCCCCGCTTCATTTGGGATGGCACCCAGGTGATCGCCATGGCTAACATGAGACAAGCAAGATAATTCCTCGAAGCTTGGCACACGAGCCCAGCCAGGATCAACAGGCACGTTGATTTTGATTTACACTATGCTGGTTTGTATGCATAGTCCACTAACTTGCGCCCAGCGTAAAATAACAGCAGCCTACCCTTGCTCGGCCAAGTAGAACTTCCCCGGTTCTGCATGCCTCAGACAGGTGGCCCACACCTTCCCCCCTCTCACCTGCAGAGGGGATCACACCTCCTGTCTCACTTGCAGAACCTATCGCAACAGGATTCATGTCACCGTAATCACCCTCACCCCCGTTTGATGTAACCCCTGCCCCCAAAACCTCCAGTGCGACATTCCCAGTCCTCACTTTTCATTTAGTCTGACGACGAACAAGTGTTACCTGTTCGAAAATTCACGAATACAACTCGACTTTCCGAAGATCCTCTTTCTTTTCATCATATCATCTCGGAATGCAAACTACTTTACTTATCCAAGTATATATAGTGACATAGACGCGTACACCAATCTGTCAGAGGACCCACTCGTCCCCCCATATTGC